GCATACTAGGAGCAAGGACGCTACTAGGGGCTCCTGGCCTTACTACTTGTAGCGAGAGGACGCTACTAGGAACAAGAAGCTACTTGGGGCTCCTGGCATACTAGGAGCAAGGACGCTACTAGGGGCCTTACTACTTGTAGCAAGAGGGAGCCACTAGGAACAAGAAGCTACTAGGGGCTCCTGGCAAACTAGGAGCAAGGACGCTACTAGGGGCTCCTGGCCTTAGTATTTGTAGTAAGAGGACGCTACTCGGAACAAGAAGCTACTAGGGGCTCCTGGCATGGCTACTAGGAGCAAGGATGCTACTAAGGGCTCCTGCCCTTACTGATTGTAGCAACAGGACGCTACTAGGAACAAGAACCTACTAGGGGCTCCTGGCATATAGGAGCAAGGACGCTACTAGGGGCTCCTGGCCTTACTACTTGTAGCAAGAGGACGCTACTAGGAACAAGAAGCTACTAGGGGCTCCTGGCATACTAGGAGCAAGGACGCTCCTAGGGGCTCCTGGCCTTACTACTTGTAGCAACAGGACGCTAGGAACAAGAAGCTACTAGGGGCTCCTGGCATAGGAGCAAGGGCGCTACTAGGGGCTCCTGGCCTTACTACTTGTAGCGACAGGACAGGACGCCGCTAGGCGCTACTAGGAAGAAGAAACTACAAGCAGTTCCCGGGCAAGCCGGCGGCGGAAGTTTCCTATAAGAACAAATTGATCTATAGGAGTGTCCACGTTCTCTCCAACATGCGCGTCCTCCAGTCAAACGCACACGCCCCGGACTTTTGACCCACGGGATTCCACTCAGTCGCGAGAGATGACTCAGCCGCGAGGGATGGCTATAGCGAGAGCTGACTCAGCAGCGAGAGATGAATGAGCAGCGAGAGATGACTCACAGCAGCGAGAGATGACTCCTCCGCGTACTACACTTGTACTACAAAGTGGCCAGTTCTCAGCTTCCAGCTCCACATGTTGTTCCGCGTGCTAAAGTTGTACTAGAAAGTCGCCAGTCAGTTCTCATCTTCCAGCTCCCCAGATGCTCCGCGTACTGCAGTTGTACTACACAGTCGCCAGTTCTCAGCTTCTAGCTGCGCAGATTGCTCCGCGTACTAAAGTTGTACTACAAAGTCGCCAGTTCTCAGCTTCCAGCTCTACAGATTGCTCCGCGTACTAAAGTTGTACTAGAAAGTCGCCAGCTCTCAGCTTCCAGCTCTACAGATTGCTCCGCGTACTAAAGTTGCACTACAAAGTCGCCAGTTCTCAGCTTCCAGCTCTACAGATTGCTCCGCGTACTAAAGTTGTACTAGAAAGTCGCCAGTTCTCAGCTTCCAGCTCCGCAGATACTCCGCGTACTGAAGTTGTACTACAAGAGCCGCCAGTTCTCAGCTTCCAGCTCGCCAGATGCTGTGCCTGCCACGAAATCTGCGCGTGGAGGTTCACAAAGTGCTGTGCCTGCCACGAAATCTGCGCATGGAGGTTCACAAAGTACTGCGCCTGCCACGAAATCTGCACATGGAGGTTCACAAAGTGCTGGACCTGCCACGAAATCTGCGCATGGAGGTTCACAAAGTGCTGTGCCTGCCACGAAATCTGCACATGGAGGTTCGCAAAGTGCCTGCCACGAAATCTGCGCATGGAGGTTCACAAAGTGCTGCGCCTGCCACGAAATCTGCGCATGGAGGTTCACAAAGTGCTGCGCCTGCCACGAAATCTGCGCATGGAGGTTCGCAAAGTGCCGTGCCTGCCACGAAATCTCCACATTGACGTTCACAAAGTGCTGCGCCTGCCACGAACTCTATACATGGAGGTTCGCAAAGTGCTGCACCTGCCACGAAATCTGCGCATGGAGGCTCACAAAGTGCTGTGCCTGCCACGAAATCTGCGCATGGAGGTTCACAAAGTGCTGCGCCTGCTACGAAATCTGCACCTGGAGGTTCACAAAGCGCTGCACCTGCCACGAA